GAGAGGAGGGGAGAGAAGAAGAGAGATGAGAAGAAGAGAAGAGAGAAGAGGAGAAGAGAGAAGAGGAGAAGAGAGAAGAGAAGAGAAGAAGAGGGGAGAGAGGAAAGGGGAGAAAAGGAGAAGAGGAGATGAGAGAGGAGAGAAGAGAGAAGAAGAGAGGAGAGAAGAGAGGCGAGAAGAAGAGAGGAGGGGAGAGAAGAGAGATGAGAAGAAGAGAGAAGAGGAGAAGAGGAGAAGAGAGAAGAAAAGAGAAGAAGAGGAGAGAGAAGAAGAAGAGAGGAGAGGAGAGAAGAGAAGGAGAGGAGAGGAGAGGAGAGAAGGGAAGAATTGGTAGTAATTATGATGACCCGAGTGGAAGAGGCTGGGTTTCCCAAGTGGGTACGTCAAAGCACCCTGGGGCCACGTCCTCTCGTCTTGGGAACAGTGTATTCAATGAGTTTTGTCACTGTGTTATACAGTTGCTTTGGCACCATGGAGGCACATCTGGTGTCCAGTGGCGATGCACCCTCAGGCATGCAGAAGGTACCCCCCCGTGGGCAGAGTCAGCATGCACAGTGAAGGAAAAATCACTTACCATCTTGGTCGTTACCTGAGTCAGCCGGAGACTTGCTCCTGCGCACGGGGCCAGGACTTTTTGCTGAGCTCTTTTGAGTCTTGGGAGATGACTTGGTGCCTGTGGTGGCAGGTGGGGCCCCCTTCATGACTCGGCACTCTGGGGGGAGAACAGCCAAGTTAGTGGGGTCCAATGTGGAAGATTCCCCCTTGCTCCTGTAAGCCAGTCACTGGTGCGTCGCAGCCCTTCGCCCAAGCCTAGACGTGACAAGGAACTTGTCCAACATCACAACTAGAAAGTGGCGGAGCTGGGGTGTGAACCCGGGTTCTCTGACTCCAAATCCAGCATTCTTTCCACTGTACCACAGGGCACCGCGAAGGGCACCTTTGAAATTCAAAAGATCGAAAAAGGGAATATACGGAAATTGCTCTGCAAACCTTAAAGAGTTCTAGAAATGCCATTATTCTTATTTATTCTTATTGAGTACGATCATGATGACCCCCAGCTCTGCAGATGGGAGAGAGATGGTAGAGCAGTGCCAGCCTTGCTTGCCTGTTGTTGTTCTGGCATCTTCCCTATGCTTCCCAAAAGCGATGACTTAGGTTTGAGTCCCAGCTCTATCACTTACCAATGGCGTGACCTTGGCCAAGTCACTTCTCTCTGCATCTGTAAAATGAGGGGATTTGGCTAGATGGGCTCTGAGGTCTGTTCCAGTTCTAAGTTTGTGCACCTATGACCCCTTCTAGGCTCACGTTTAGGCCCGGCTTCCTTCCTTCCAGCTCCCTAGGAAGCCTTGGTCTCCTCTGCTTGGTTGAAGTTGGGAAAGAGGACACTGGTCCATAGCCATCCTGGGAGAACTGGGCATGGACTAGTCCTGGTGGTTAGGTATAGGGAGTGAGGGGAATGGCAGGGAGGGAAGGTTGCGGGGCTGAATGCAGCAGGTTGGCACGGCTGATGGCAGTGAGTGGGCGGGGTGGGGAGGGTAAGATGGGTTTGGTCACCAGCTTTATGTCCTTCCTCCCCCACAGCCCAGCATCCTTCCAAAGCTCTGTCACTCAAGTGAGCCTGCAGAAATCTCAAGCGGTCAAAAGAGAAACAAAGGCATGACAAGAACTATAAGCCATAGGGGCCATCCATGCTCACCATTCTCATCCAGGGAGAAGTCATCCTGGGCGTAGCGGAATTTTTCAGGACCGCAGGCAATAAACACATCATCGTCACCAAAGAAATCGTGGAGACAGGTCACCTGGAGAGAAGGCAGACACATCTGTTGGCGATTCTGGTGGTGGGACACCTGTGATACCCACGGCCTGCCCCCTGCAGCTCACAGACGATACAGAATCAGAATTTTCGAGCTGACCTCAGAGGCCAACGCGGCTGACAGGCGGCTGTTCGGCCCGTGTCTGAGGACCTCCTGAGGCATCTCATCCCACTTTGGGGCAGCCCCTCTTGACAGTCACAGCCCAAATCTGCCTGTGCCTCCACTGTTCCAGGCTCTGCCCCCTGGGGCCTAACAGAACAATCGAATCCCTCCTCCTCCTCCAGGTGGCCCTTCAAATCCTGGAAGGCACCTAGCTCGTCCCTCCCCCAAGCCTTCCCCTTTCCAAGGTAAAAGTGCCCGGTTCCTTCATCTGCTCCTCAGATGGCAAGGACTTGAGGCCCCTCGCCATGTGGTTAGCCTCTGTAGGTGCCTTCCAGATTATCAATCAGCCAACCAGTCAATGACCAAGCATTTATTAAGCACTGTGCTAATGCTGGGGGAGTGAAGCCAATGAATGAAACAATCTCTGCCCCGCAGGAGCTTCTTTCTCTTGACAGAAACGTAGAAGTAAAGATGAAATATATATGAAGAAAATACAAGGAAATGTGAGTAAGGGGAGCATTAGCAGCTAACTTTACTTTTCTAGGTGCCAGACCCTGGGCAAATCACTTGCCCCCTCTGAGCCTCAGTTTCCTTATCTGTCCAGTGGAGATAATAGTTCTCATATCCAAGAATCTAAGAGGTCACTGAGTATACTCCCTTTCATTTACAGAGGGGGAAACTGAGGTCCAGAGGAGTCAGGGACTGGCTCAATACAGGTAGCAGGTGGCAGAGCAGGGATTCAAACCCAGTTCTACTGAGCCCATGCCCAGAATGCTTTCCATTGTGTCTTGCTGCCTTCACCCTGACTCTGGAGGTTTCATACAGGAAACCAGGCTGGTCACTGCACTGGCGACCACACAGATGGCTTCCACTGCAGGAGGCCGGGTGGGAGAAGATGGCGCTAATACCACAGGCCTAAACCCTATAGCAAGACGCCATGGTTCCCAGTATTCCCAAATTAATGCCTAGTAAAGTTGTCCAGTTGATCTTCCCCCTACCATCCCTCACCTGGAGAGCTTCCTTCTCCCCAGGAACCCTTGACCCTTGCATAGATAATACTTGATAGTTTGCAAAACATTTCACAGTCTATGAAATATATTTACATCCATTCCCTCCTTTTCCTCTTCCTGATAGCCCCATCAGAGAGGACAGGCAGGATAGGGACCTCTAGCCTTATGTTACCAAGGAGGAAACTGAAGCCAGAGGAGTGGAAGGGATGTGCCTAGGGAAGCAGAGACCAAGACTCGAAGGGTCTCTTGATTCCCCATCCAATGTATCCTAATACTAAGAACAGCAATCACACAACAGTGACACGGTTAATCTAACGTAGGCCTACTGTGCTCTGGAGCTAGTGAAATAAGCTAGACCATTAGCTCCACATGAGTCAATGGTGCAATATGGCAGCCAGAAAAAATGGGAGCAGGGTCTGTGGTTGCATTGAGAAAATCCAAGTGGCCAGAATGAGGGCAGCGTGCATGTCGCCACCAGCTGCCCTCATCAGAGCACATCTGGACGTGGCGCTGTAGTCAGCTCTGGGGGCCGACTCAGGGAAGGACAACGACAAACCTGAAAGCATCCAGAGGAAAGTCAACAAGATGATGGCAAACAATTCCATCCAAGACCATTGAAGGATTTGGGAATGGTGATCCCAGAGAAGAGAAGATCAGAGGAGGGGGCATGGATCCTGGCTAGAGGTCATTCATTGAAGGGCTAGCCGTGGAAGAGGGGATAGCCTTGTTCTGCTTGGGTCCCGAGGGCAGAGATAGCAGCTGCAATGTGTGTGTGTGTGTGTGGGGGGGGTCATAGAGAAGCAGCTTCTACAATGGATGATGGTGGTTAGGGATGGACAGGACAGGGCAGGCAAGCCTGACTCCCCAAAGGCTAGAGAGAAAATACTCAGGTGCTCTTACAAGAGCCTTGGAGGTGGCTTTGCCACAGGCCTGGGGAGGCTCTGCCTGGCCCGCAGGGACAGCCCAGGTCATGACAAGGCCTGGGTTCAGGCAGCTCACTAATCATAGGAGGGGAGGGAGAAGAAACTCTGCTGGTTCTCCTGATATCGCTAGTCTTCAAGATTGGCCACGGGCCACGCGCAACCCTGACCTGTGTGTGAGGTGGCCAGTTGGAGTGGGAACCATTCACACTCGTTGCAGTGTGCTGCCTCTTGTGGCTATTGGGACTTAGGGGTGGCTGCTTGCTGTGGGACTTTGAGCAAGTCCTTTGTCTTCTCTAGGCCTTAGTTTCCCTGTCTGTAAGATGAGGTAATTAGACTAGGTAATCTCAAAGGTCCCTCAAACCTTCCATGTGTCTCCATTCCAGGCTACTCAGCTAGGGAGGAGGGAGAGCTTAGCTTGAGGCTTGGGTGGCTCCCACAGAATCCTAGGAGGGCCAGCTGTATCTCATTGCCCCAGGCTCCTCGAGACGCCGGTATGAGGGAAATGTGGCATGGAAAGAACATTGATCTTGGGTCAGAAAACCTGGCTTCGAGGCCAGGCCTGTTACCATCCATGTAACCTTGGGCAAATCACTTAAGCTCTCGGAGCCTCAGTTTCTCTGTGAATGGATTGGGGTTCGACAAAATATTGCAGACTTCTTGCCTCTCCTCCCCTCCCACTCACTGCAGATGCTTGAACCTGAGCTTACTGGAAGTCCTGGGAAGGTTGCATCGATAGCTATCCCAGCAGCAACGGTGAAGACAATGCCCCAGTGGTCCCTTCGCCCTCTCCCCTCCTCCCCTCCTTCCCTCCTCTGGTTATGGGATTGGTAGCTCTGGGGAAGGCATGGAGGGAGCAGACATGCTAATGTGTGGTGGGGTGACAGCCCAGGGAATGAGCTTAACAAGCTAGCTGGCATGTGGGGATTCCACCTCTTCCTCCAGCCCTCTAGTGAGGGGGTATCCCCGCCCCCCAAGGCAGCCCATTCCCCTTTAGGGAGGCTTGAATTGCTAGTAAGCTCTTCCTTATTTAGAAGCCAAAATCCGCCCCTCTGCAAGTGCCACTCACTCTTCCGAGTCCTGCCCGCCGAAGCCTAATCCCTCTTGTACATGCCAGCCCTTCTCCAGGCTCAACACGCCCAGTTCCTCCAACTTCCTGTGCTCTCCAGGCCTCTTCCAGCCCAATTGGCTTCTTTGGGATACACTCCTTCCTCAAATGTGCTCAGGCCTGCTGACACTCCAAATGAGGTCTGGCCAGGGCAGAGGACAGTGGGACCGTCCCCTACCATCTTCTGGGCACTCGGCCTCTCTCGATGCTGCTGCCACATCACACTTCCGATTCCTATTGTGTTCGAAGTCCATTGGGCCAAACAGAGAAGGGTTAATCCCTTTCCCCCATCATAGTCCTGTAAATATCTGAAGACAACTAACGTGTGGTGTGGTGTGGTGTGGTGTGTGTGTGTGTGTGTGTGTGTGTGTGAACACCACCACTGTCCTCCAATACACGAAGGATTGTCATGGGGGAGAGAGACCAGGCTGGTTTTGCTCACTTCCCTCTCCTCCCCTCCCTTCTCAGGCACAAGGGCCAAAGGGAATGAGAATGGGTTTTCCAGAGGCAGACTTGAGCTGCAGATGAGGGCAGCTTCCCAGCAATCAGAGCTTTGCTGAATAGGATTGGCTGCCTCGGGAGAGAGTGAGCCCCCCATGGCTGGCTGGACATCCCCCACCCCCGGCCAGGATGTTAAGGAGGGCATCCCTGTTGGAGTACATGTTAGCCTACACCTGACCTCTGTGTACCCTGCTGGGGTGCACGTATGACCTGGGAGGCCTCTTCCTACTCCATGATTGGGCCCTGCCATGGGATCTAGCTTGGGCCACGGGGAGTTTGTTTTCAGTTCTCTTTTGGCCATCACATGTGCCACCGTAAGGTTCTGGTGCAAATGGGAGATGACATTTCTTTGACCATATGTCAACTAAATTCCAAAGGGACTTTCCTCCAGCCCCCTGGCTTAGCTATTGCTCACACGCAAGCCCTTCTTTAAGATGAAAAAAACAGCTATTCTACCCTCTTTCCAACTAATTAGTGATACACCCCACAGCCTCGGCCATGGGCGCTGGATTGGGCCATTTCTAAATGACTGACTCATTAGATATTTGGAGAATTAATCCCTAGGATTTAGGGATTGAGAGCTGGAAGGGACCTTAGAGGATTCTAGTCCAGTCTCTTAATTTTACAGAGGGGGACAATGAGGGCTGTGGAGGGGAAGGTCCCATAGCTAGCAAGTGTAGAGCCTCGGGATTGGAACGTGGGTCCTCTGCCTCCCAATCCAGCAACCTGAAGACAGTTCTCTGGTTCTCCCTGAGTCTTCTCTTCTCCAGGCTATAAATCCATCATTTCTTCAACTGATTCTCATGTGGCCTGGACTCAAGGCCCTCCTGGTTGCCCTCCCCAGATATTCTCCAGTTTCTTAAAATGTGGCCCCAGATCTGAGCCTGATACTTCAGATGTGATCTGATGAGGCAGAGGACAGTGACATTGTCACCTCCCTAACCCTGGAAGCTTTGCCTCTCACTTTGGCCTGGTATTTAGGACCCTCTGTATCTTTACCCAAGCAGTCTTTCCAGCCTTATCTGCCACTATTCCCTTTCCCAGTCTATGCTCCAGCCAAATAGGATTCCAGGCAAGACTGGTGTTGGCTGACCTTTCAACCATCTGTATCCTTAGATACCCTGGCCTCTGTCCTGCCCACCTAGTTGCCAGACTCCTGCCCCACACTGACCTGGGAGCAGTGATAGGGTTCCTAACCCTTAGCCTGACTGTCTCCAATCCCAAAGCCCTGCTTGCCTCTTAATATTGGGCCTTGCCTGGCCAGTCATCCCATGACCTAGCATGCTAGAGCCATTGTCGGCTAGGCTCCGAATCCTGCTTCTGGGATGCCCTGGGCTCTTTGGG